ACCTACGCCGCCATCTTGACCGGAAGTCTTGCAATTTCTTTAGCTACATACATAGTATTCCATTGTATGGATGTGACATTTAACCTATCCCATACTGAAGGACTTTTAGGTTATTTTCAATCTTTTGTAACAAACAATACTGCAATTAATAACCTTGTGTCATACATTATTTTGCACATGTGTAAGTATATCTGTGGGATAAATTCCTAAAGGTGTATTAATGGATATAGCCACGTTTCCTTCCATTGACCAATTTACACGTCTGCCAAATGTGTATATATGAATATCTATTTCTCTATACCCTCACCCACAATGTATATCAAAAATTCTAAGTTTTTGCCCTGGCCAGTGTGGCTCAGTTGGTTGGAGCATCGTCCTGTACACCAAAAGGTGGCAGGTTTGATTCTGGGTCAGGGCACATTCCCAGGGCACATTGCAGGTTCAATCCCCAGTCAGGGTGTGTATAGGAGGCAACTAATCAATGTTTCTCTCTAACATCCCCATTGATGTTTCTCGCTCTCTCCCTACCATCCTCTCTTAAATAAAAAAGATATTATGTGATGAAATATTGATTACCTATATTTCATTTACCTTCCTTCAAAAAGCAGAACATTGGTGAACACAATCAATCAAATAAAAAGTATGCAAAAGGAACAGCAATCATGTAAGATACTTTGAACTGCAAGTCATAAGAAACATTGGTTACATTGGATGTCAAGAAAGTATTATTGACAAGACTCAATATCCTTTCATGATAAGAACTCTTAACAAATTAGGCATAGAACAAACGCACCTCAAAACAATAAAGGTCATATGCATATGTGGAATCTAAAATAATTTACTAGAAACCGAGTAGAATTGTGGTTACCAGGGGCTGGAGGGCAAATGGGAGGAGGGTGTTGAACTTTCAGTTATAAGAGGAACAAATTCTGGAGATCTAACGTTCAGCATGGTGACTATAGTTAATAACAATGTATTGAACACTTGAGATTTGCTAAAGAGTAGATACATTGATTAGCTTGATTGTGGTAATTATTTTACAATATATACATACATCAAAATATCACATGGTGGGGTGAGGAAGCAAAATGGGTGAATATGGTCAAAAGGTATAAACTTCCAATTATAAAATAAATAAGTCCTGGGGATGTAGTGTACTGCATGGTGATTATACTTAATAATACTGTGTTGTGCCAAAGAATAGATTTTAAAAGTTCTCAATATAAGAAAAAAATTATAACTATGTGTAGTGATGGATGTTAACTAGACTTGTGGCGATCATTTCATAATATATACAAATATTGAATCATTATGTTGTACACCTGAAACTAATATAATGTTAAATATCAATTATATATATATATATTTTTTCTTTTTTGTTTCTTTAAGACTCTTATTACATTTATTTCCACTCTGATCTTTATTAGTTTTTTCCTCTCCTCGCTTTCCTTTGTTTGCTGTTCTTTTTCTTGTTCCTTTAGGTGTAAATTTAGATTGATTATTTGAGATTTTTCTTGTTTCTTGAGGTAGGCCTGTATTGCTATAAATTTCCCCCTTAGAACTACTTTTGTGGTGTCCTGTAGATTTTGGGTTGTTGTGTTTTCATTTTCATTTGTCTCAAGATATCTTTTGATATATTCTTTTATCTCACTGTAAACCCATTCATTGTTTAGTAACATGTTATTTGGGTATCTTTCAATTTTTTTCTTGTACTTGATTTCTAGTTTTATACCATTGTCAATGAAGGTGCTTGATATGATTTCAATCTTCTTAAATTTATTGAGACTTGTAGCCAGTCTTTTTTCTATATTTTGAAGTCATATGGGAGTTGAAGACATTTCTATGGTCAGCCAGAGACTGGCAGAGTGAAAAAGCTACTAAATAAGAAATATTATTTCTGAATGACCTGGGAACCTGAGAAGCCATATTAAATGAAATAAATAAATTGGAATCTTTCTGTTTCTCATCGATAGTCTGTTTGCCAACGTATACGAAACCTCTAGAATCTCATATGGGATTTGATAGAAACTATATATCTTTTGAATGCACACTTATTAGAATCTTTTCTTGCTTTTAAAACACTCTGCAATCAGCCTGGCTGGTGTGGCTCAGTGGTTGAGCGTCGACCCATGCACCAAAAGGTCGCTGGTTTGATTCCCGGTCAGGGCACATGCCCAGGTTATGAGCCCGATCCCCAGTGGGGGGCATGCAGGAGGTGGCCAATCAATGTTCTCTCTCATCGATGTTTCTCTCTCTAAAAAAAGTTAATAAATAAAATAAAAACAAAACTCTGCAATCAGAAAATTACTGACACTTCTGGTTTCAGATGTGGCTGTTGCTCTGAGTCCACATCCATTAGGAGGCAGACAAACCCAAGAGCTAAGTATTCTGCACTCTCGCAGGACTATAGTAAGGCAAGGTGATTACTTACTCCATAGGTTTTACTTGCAACCCTGCCTTTTTTATTTCTCTAAATTATGAGGTAACGAAGACTGTGCATTATTGGCATTCGATAATCCACAGCACACTATTTCCACACTATTTCAAATTGTTTTGGGTCCCATTGTGGTACTTTGGAATTATGTTAATTTGTGTAATATTGCATGAATAAATTAATTAGTGTTTTTTTTTTTTTTTTTTTGTTCAAAGATAGTTCTTCTACCTTGAATCTGATTTATTTTAAAGCTTTACCACAAAAGTTAAACTATTGCTTTATATCACCAAAGGGTTAATGTTGGAGAGAGTAAATGTCAACATGTATACAAAGCAAACTACAAGGTCAGCTTTCTCAAAGTAGAAATCCAAGTCTCCTGATAATGCTAGTGTCACAAATGTTTGAAAGTTTACTTTTTGTGTGCCCCCCGCCCCCAACATAAAGGCCACACATGGGAACCTCAGGAAAGTAATCTATTTTAAAAGAAAATTTTCAAAGTTCAGTCTGTGATGTGCAACATCAAATAACCTCACAGCACAGATGGGAACTGGAAAAGTCAGATGGTTGACACTTAAAAGCAGTGTCCTACCACCCAAAGCCAGTGTACCAAGAGGAAAATCTCAGGATGATTCAGATAAAGAGTTGAGCTGCCGGCTGATCTGGCTGCCTTAAGTGGGGGGCTGACTAGGAGGTGGAGTCTGGGTCCCCACACTTGCCCTGCCCAGACTTTGAGATAACATGTTTCTCTCTCCTGGTCTCTGCTCTTGTATTCCCAGCAGGCAACACAAAAGGGGAGTGTGGGGGTGGGTGTATGGGAAGTTTTACAGGGCCACCAGCTGGTCCCGGCTGACCATCCCAACTACACACATCTCTTCCAGGCCCTGGACTCCCCTCTTATCTGAATACCACCTGGGGACATGTTAAAGCGGGTGTGGGGTGTGGGGGTGGGGTGGGGCATGCAGCCTTAAATTGCCCCTGCTACAGAAAAAGTAGAAAGACATTAGGGGACACTACTCAGTCTCAAATCTGATTTTTAAAAACTTCTTTGATCCACTTGCCCCAAATCTTGAAGTCAGGAAATCCTACTGGCTTTATCTTCAAAATACATCCCAAATTCATAACTTTTCTACTGTTTCAACCACTAGTGCTTTAGTCTAAGACATATCTTCTTATTCCCTACCCCCCTAAAATTCAGGTCCCAAATCCAAAATAATTAAGCCATTAAGATATCTTTTATTTTGGTTTTTGCTCTTTTAGTTTATAAAGGAAAGAAAAATAGAAATATTCAGTTTTGTTTGACAATCTCCAGATTTTGAATAACTCAAATACATTATGAGTATGTTTTTGGTTTCTAAATTAGAATAATATAAAAAATGGACAAAAGAGAAGTTGAGTTTTCCTAAGTTAATTATTTATAATAAAATGATGTATACTTGTAAAGTTAAAACAAAAACCTCTTTTTCGTCATATAGATTGATACAACAACTGTCAACACATTGATTTTATTTTTTATTTATTTATTTTTATTTTATTTTATTTTTTTTTAGATAGAGTGGGAGGGAGAGAGAGGAAGAGAGAGAGAGAGAGAGACACCGACGTGAAAGGGGCACATTGAGTGGTTGCCTCCCACATGACCCAGCCAGGGCTGGGGACAGACTGTAACCAGGTATGTGCCCTTAGTGGGAATTGAACCTGGTTTCTCTGAACCTCAGGCCGACGCTGTAACCACTGAGCAAACTGGCCAGGGCTCAACACATTGATATTAAAAAAGAAAATTCTTTGTCAACTGGTGACATTCATATTACACTTTAGGGGGTTACAGTCCTCATAATTTAGAGAAATAAAAGAAGACAGGGTTGCAAGTATATCCTATGGAGCAAGTACTATCCTTGCTTTACTGTAGTTCTGTAAATCAGTGACCTTGTAAATCTCCTGGCAACCCTCTTTTCCCTACTTGAGGAAGAAGACTTCATGATTATTTCATCAATCTTAGGGTACAGTTTTGGTTCTTTTTTGCCTGAAACTCCTTTGCTTAAGATGATTTATGAGGCTGCTCTGCCTACGGAGTAGCCTTCTCTCTGTCCCACTCCACTATAAACCCTCTTCCACCCTAAACTCTAAAACAAACAAACAAACAAAATATTATTTAATACTGCTTATGAATGGTCTATACTTAAAAATGTAAACTAAAATTTTCCAGTATTCTATGCTATTACAGAGCAACTTGCCATTGGAATATCACCTTCTCCCAGAAATTAAATCAGTTCAAAAGACTGTTCTCCCTCACTTGAGCTTGCCAGCTAACAGAGATTAAAAAACTACATATTTATATAGGCATGCAATTGGATCGGTCCATTTCAGGAAGCTTTGGAACTAGTTATTTTTTTAAAAATTTATTGGGATTCGATTGGTCAATAAAATTATATTGGTTTCGAGAAGTGTGTTTTTGTTTTTACTTGTTGTGGAAATCTCGTAAAAAATGACAAGAACTTAAAGAACTTTTAGAAGTTTTGCTATTCCCAAGGGGGCAGTCATAATAAAAAAGTGGAGGCTCATTCAAAGTGTAATGGGCCGGAATCCGGAGGAAATACCTAAGCTTACCATTGTGCTAGAGAAGGAGCACCGGGCACAGCTCCCCGTGAAGGCTTATAAGTATGTGCTGGCTATTGTTTGCTTATTTTCAGACCTGAGTGAGGATATTGCTGATGGATAGCTAAGGTTTGAGGGTAAACTGCTTGATTGTTTTTCTGGACCTAAGGAATTCCAGCTGATTTCGTCAGTGATATGGGGCACACATTTCACTGTGCTTGTTACTAAAAAACAGCTCCAAAATGTTCTTTATTTAAAAAGAAAAACTTCACTGTTCCGAATCTATGTTGAGAAAAACTAGAAAAAAAAACAAAAAAAAACAAACAAACCAATTCTAAAACTTAATTTGAGAATACTCTCCAAGACTCTTGAACGCCCATCGTCTGAGAATTGCTATTAGCCTCTATGACAATGAGATCAACTCCTGGGATTCATAGAGGATTCATTTAGGAATTCACTTCTGAACCTATACTCTGCCATATTGCAAACTTACAATTCTAAGTTTTACAAAGAACTCATTTGACGCATCCAGCTTCATCAATAGATAAATGCAATATTCCCCAAATATCCACCTAATCAGACTCTGCATGATTAGGAACCTGGAGATTTAGCATTTTAAAAAAGACTCAAATTCCCAAAACACTATCCCCTTAGCTTGATGGAAAGGATTTCATTGGAAATTCTTAAACTGATGATTCATAAGTATCTTCCAGATGTAAATGATATTTAGAAGAAGACCAACAAACCAAGACCTACAGATGAAGCTAATGAGGACATGAAATAGATAGCTTCCACTAAAGACAACAAAACAAGATAGATTTTTGGTATCTCTGCTCTCCTGTTCTCATTTTGCTCTACTTATCCTTGTACTTTGATGCCCCCTAGAGGCCAACCAAAAGTTTCTCCATTCTTTCACATTTCTACACATTGTATCCTAACCCTCTGTAATTTTTCTTTGCCACCTAAGGAAAGCAAAACTCTTTTGTGTGTTTTTCTCAGGCTATAGCTATTGCTCTTAATCAAATTGAGTTGTGGATTTGTCATCCTTCACCTGATTTGACTAAGAAAAATTTGATAACTGTTTTATTCCAACACTTTTTTAAAAGGTAGATTTTCTTCTATAGATCCCTTCTGGAATTTGAATTTTCTCACAGTGTGAATCCTAACCTTTGGTTCTATCAAAATTGAACATTGATCCCAAATAACAAAATACTTATGCTCACTTATGAAGCAAACTTACAGGAATAGAAACAAATATTGAAGCTCTCCTTGCCACATTAATCTGTTATCTTCAGTGACTCCCCAGCCTCTGCTCAAACCATATGTTAAGGGACTAATAATTGTCCCACTTTCATTGTGATTAATAATACTTATTTTCCAATTTTGTTTGTGCAACACTAAGGTACTACTCTTTATGTGAACATCAGGCCTTCACCTAATTATTACACAAACCTATCTTTAAAAAATGTTTTTTTCTGTCCTGGCCAGTTTGGCTCCATGGTTGGAGAGTTGGCCCACGGACCAATGACTCGCGGGTTTGATTCCGGTCAAGGGCATGTGCTCATTCGGGAGGCAACCAATAGATCTCTCTCTTTCTCCCTCTCTCCCCCTCCTGCTCTGTCTGCGGATAAATGGAAAAATGTCCTCAGGTGAGGATTAAAAAAACAAAAACAAAAACAAACGTTCGTTCTTCTTATTTTTAATCCTTACCCAAGTATATGTTTTTTAAAATTGATTTTTCAGAAACAGGGGAAGTGGGGGGAGACATTGATTTGTTTTCCACTTATTTATGTACTCATTGGTTGATTCTTGTATGTGTCCTGATGGCGGATTGAACCTGCAATCCTGAAGTATCGGGATGCCACTCCAACCATCTGAGCTACCCAGCCAGGGCTACAAAAATCTATCTTGCATAGATGAAGTAACTGTAAGAGACTTCAATATTTGAAACACCTACTCCTATAGGAAATTAGGGTTCTCTGAGAAAGAGACCTGGAACGAGGAAAGCATGGATTAATTAGGAAGTTCCCAAGAGAGATAACTGACCCCCTCTTCATCTCTACTCTGGGTGCTCCAGTTCTAATAGTAGGAATGATACAATTAGAAAGGTAGTCCAAAATTTGTCTCTGACCCTACCAGAAGTCATAAATGACATTACCTCTGCTCAGGAGGACCAATAAACTAGTTTATTTTAAGTTTCATGGTGGTTATGAATGATTACATAGAGTTTGGTTTCTTCTTGGCTAGCTACAAGCTCTGTTTTATAGTAAATGTGCTTGCAGCACTTACCTAAAACACTGTTTATTGGCCAGGTAGAGCAGTCTGTGGTGAAGTTAAAAGACAAGACTAACTGGCTCTACAGAACAAAATCAAATGGGTTTGGGGACCTGATATCATGACCTGGTTTTGAAATCTAGACTCTTTGCTTTGCACCCTATTAATAGGGTTAATAATCACTTTGTTTCTGGTAATTACCTGCATTGTAGTTGACCCATGCATCCTTACCAGTCTCAAATGCTACTGTGCAGTCATTGTCTATTTATGTGACTCAACATCTCATCTTGCATCAAAAGGTAAAGGAGAGACAAACAGTAGTGCGGATGCAGGCAGTGTTCTCCAGATAACCTTGTGGTCAGTGGATCCTGATGATGGAGTGGATCTGAACCCTGCAGATGAACGTCCTGGGGACTGAGGCCGAAAGGGGAGATCAAAAAGTGAAATAACACACCTAGGAGCTTGCTGCTGGAAGCTGACAGGTAAACTTGCATGTTTCCTACCAAATGTAATCATCTGAATATTTTAATCAGTCAAGGCCAATTAGTGATTGTGATGGAATAAGATGTAGAAAGACCACTCACGCTGTAACTGTGTTTGAAACCAGATAGAGAAAAAGACCCTGAAACCAAGACCAGATGAACCTCTTGCCTCCCAGATAAAAATTGCTAAGACAAACACCAAATTGCCCCATTTTTACAAAACTGACCTCTACTCTTCCAAGTGCTCCTTAGCCTCGCCCAGTCAAACCCAAAATAGACTCCCCAAAACGCCTCCTATGAAGAGACTCTGTGCTTCTGTGCTGCTTCCTGTCTCGGGACGCAGCGCCCTAAACAAGCTCCGCTTCGTTTGACTGCACACGTGTAGTCATTGGTTGGCTGGCAGTAACTGTTATGGTCTGAATGTTTGTGTGCCCCCCAATTCACATGTGGGTGATGGTATTAGGAGGTGAGGCCTTTGGGAGGGCTCCTCCTCATGAATGCAATTAGTGTCCTTATACCAGAAGCCCGGGAGAGCCTGCTTGCCCCTAGGACACATTGAAAAGGAGGCTGTCTACGAACCAGGAAGCCCCCACCGGACACCAAGCCTGCAGGTGCCATGATCTCGGACTTCCCAGCCTCCAGCACTGTGAGAAATCAATGCTTGTTTATAGGCCACCCAGGCTATGCTACTTTGTGAAAGCAGTGCCGACAGACTGAAACAGCACCTGTCCAAATCCAGGGGGGCCATTCGGAGCCTTCTTGATCCAGTCCCTTCTCTCCTTCAACCCCTGCCTGGCGGAGCTGCTCCAAAATATTTTGAAATTAGAATGAAGATAATTTTGAATATCTGGGTAACACAGAGGCAAGAACTAATCAGATAGTCCAATTTGGCATGAAAAGATTAAGATTGGAGTGGATTTTCTTGCGAGGAGCTAGAGGGATAGGCCGCCCCTCCCTAAGGTGTTCCAAGAGGTGGGGTTAATAAGATATCCAGGGCCTGGGCCTTTCCTGACTTCTTCCAAGTCCTTCCTTGACAGGTTTCTTGAGCTTGTCCCTGTTCTGAATCAGGAAGGAGCAGCTTGGACATGGAAACAAGGGCTTACGGCGAGGAGCCTTGGTGGACGGTGCCTAAAAACTTCCATCTTCCACTGATATTTTACATGGAGGAGGAGCAGGAGGAGCGCATCTTTGGTGGGTGGCCCTTGCCCACACCCCTCTCCAGCCCTTTCTTCTGGGCTTCTTCTGTCCCAGGTCCCTACCCTGGGATGCCCCCACCCCACACTGTAGTTTATGAGTCCCTCTCTGGGCTCGCAGGCCGCCAGGACGCAGACCTTCATCGCGTGGAGGTGCACAGCCACTGCCTCATCCAGCTGGAAAGCTGGTTCACAGCCACAGGCCAGACACGCGTCACTGTTGTCGGACCACCTGAGGCCAGGCAGTGGCTGTGCCTCATGGTCTGGAACTTGGAGAGTGGGGACTCGGACCGGCAGGCCCAAGGTGGGTGTCCTTGGCTGATTGTGGTTGAGGGTGATGGTGGAGCTGTGTGGTGTCTTGGGTGGCTGGGAATCCAGGTGCTCCTTGGAGCCCTTGAGAAGCTGGGGCCGGAGCCATAACCACCTTTGTGGGATGGGGCAGCCAGGAAGGCTGGGTGGGGTAACACCCCTCAGGGTTCCCTTCGGCATCCTGGCCTGACTTGGGGGCCCTGTTTTGGATTCTGCCTCATCAGGACACTCTCCGCAGGCCTTGAGATGCTGCAGCATGTCCGGAGCCAGTCACTGACCAAGGATGACCTGGCAGCCACCCCCCGTATTCAGCGGCACCCCACGGCCCTGACTTTGCCAGTCAGGGTGGGCAGGCCTGTCCATCCTAGGCTTTCTCAGGCTTTGCCTCACCGGTGGGCTGGTCCTTCTGGATTCCGTTAGATTTCACTCTGTCAGTAATAAAAGACCGATGGTCCCAGGGCAGTTAAGATGTGAGGGGAAGTTCTGCTTAGCCACTGATGAGTAAGATGTGAAGGGTGTTGACGGGAGGTTTGAATTTGTAGCCTAATTCTGTCTCAGGCCTTCTAGGCATCTATTTGAGACGTCTCCTAAAGGTGAGAAAGTGTTCTGTGGGCAAAGTCATCCAATAAAATAAGTGAGTCAATGTGCAATGCCTCTGATGTGCTGGCCTCTTTCCTTTGGACAAGCTCGTGTGGCCCAGAGGGGCTTCTGGCAGGTGCATTGCTGAGATCCGGGGGCCACCATGTGCCCCTGTGCGGCCCCCTGGAGACACCCCAGTAAAGGAGTATGACACAGAAAAGGCAGCTTTTTCACAAATGACTTCTCTCAGGCCTGGAGCCTGGATCCTGGTTCAAAACAGGGGCTTCTAGAAAAGAAGAGACCCTCCCTAGGAGCCCCAGGATCCGCCTGTGCCTTAAACGATGGAGAAACGAGAGAAGAAAGGAGTGTGGAGGGTTGTGCCTAGATGGAAACAGGAAGTGGTCCCACCCCAGCTGCCTGGGGAAGCAGGCCGTGCAGCCTGCGGATGTAGTCCCGGGCACTGTCCCGACTGCCAGAAGTTTGGGGGTGCGATGGGGAAGGGAGGGCTTCTGCAGCAAAGGGTCCTGAGGTTCTCTGAAGCCGTGAACACAGTGATTAGTAAGGCGTGCCACATCTCCATTCTAGAACCATCCTGCATGCCAGATCCACACCTGAATCTCTCACCCAAGACCCTGGAGAGCTACACCCGAACTCGGCTCCCAGCCTCCGCCCGCTCCGGCAGCCGGGCGCCCAGGGAGCGAGGCGGGCCAGGCGAGGGGGGCGACCTGGACTCAGCGGAGGCGGTGGTGAAAGCTACGAAATGTTTGCATTCGAAACCTACTTTTGAAGCCAGCGAGGTTTGCTAGTTTTATGGGTTTTGGCCAGTTATTAAACAGCAGTCAGATGAGGTTCGTGGTAGAAAAATACTCATGAATCTGTCTGGAAGAAAACCAAACCACACTGTTCTTAAAGGGAATATCATGCTTGCTTCCTAATTAATAATTTAAACATTAATGGCTCATAAAGTAGAGGGAGGGAAGACTTTTTTTTTTTGTAAAAACACTGGCAAAAAGACTATTTTCTCCCTTAATTAAGTTTCATGCCAAGAATTATCAAATTAACGTTTTGCCTTCTTGGGTGAGTCTTTTTTTTTTTTTCTTTAAAAAAAATAAAAGTATTTTTATTGATTTTTAAAGAGAGAGAATGAGAGAGAGAGAGAGAAAGAAACATTGATCTACTTCCTGCATGCCCGGCCCTGAGCCCAAACCCAGGCAAGTGTCCTGACCGGGAATCAAGCTGATGACCTCTTGGTTCACGGGAAGACACCCAACCAACTGAGCCACACTGGTCTAGGCTTGGGGCAGTAATTCTGATCTCCAAGTCCCAGTCACCAAAGATGACTGTGTGGGCACAACTCGGGCATTAATGTAGGCATTAATATCTCACACAGTGGAGTGAGACTACATGCATTTAAGTCTTTGCTCTACCACTAAAGAGCTTTACAGTCTTTGGCAAGTTACTGATTTCTCAGGGCAGTCATTCTCTCATCTAACAGCAGCCACCTGTTACTATAAAGGTATCGTAAGCATATACATTTTGCCTACATCCATTCACTGACTTTCTTCTAACAATTATAGTTTTGTAGGTCTCTCCTTCCTAGTTTCAAAGGTGGGGAGGAGGGGTTCTTATTGGCTAAGCCAATCAGGGCATACACATGGTGACTGTGACCAGGTTCAGGAATGAGAAGGTGACCTGTGTTAGTCTAATCAGGTATCAGGAAAGGATTTTATTCCATTCTTGGGTAAAGGGTTCCTCACCTCCTCTGTTAGATCAGATCAACGAGGTGTACGGTACCAGTTGTCCCTGGCATCCATCTTGTGGACAATGAGAGGAACCGTAAATAATATCCTGCTGACAAGGAGGAAGGCAGAGAAGGAACCCGAAACCTGGATGGTGTGATTGAGCAAAGTGTACTCGCCTGGAGCCACCCTACCCCTGGACCTCAGACATGTTAGATATTAGAAGGTCCTTATGTTTAAGATTGTTTCAGCAGGGGGTTTCATGTACCTGCAGCCAAATGCATCCTGACTGATACACCACCTGTGGCAATGTGAGGACTGAATGAAATGATACCTGGAAAGCATTTATTGGCACAATCCTGGGTAGTCATTAAGTATGATTGTTGTTCTAAAGTCTGGGATCCAAAGACCCTGTAGACTGGCTCTGGATAAGGACCTGACATTGGTAGGATATGGAGTAGAGAAGTGGGGAGCAGCAATGTGTTGCTACAGGGCTCAGGGACAGGGGAAGGGAGACCAGACCCTTCTTTTCTTTGGAACCTGAAGTGAAGTTGAGAGAGGTCAGTTTTCTCAGTAAATGGGCAAAGCCTTGGCATGAGTGTCATCTATGGGGTCATTTGTGTTTGGGGGATGGAGAGGGACAGAGGCCAAAGATGCTGGGGCCGAGGGAGGGGCTGCTCTTTCAAATATGATTACTCATTATTTGGCATTCATTGCCTCCCAGGCCCCTTTAGAAAAGTACTAAGAGCTTTGGGAGAAGTAGCAGATCAAATCTGTGACAGTAGGATGACGTTTGATGATCACTCTGCACTGGGCTAAAAAGCTGCTGAGGTTGTAGGTTGGATGTTACTGAAAGCTGAGTAAGAGGCCTGGAGAGACCAAGACACTTTCAATCACTCAACATTATTGAGTGCTCACGGCATGGCATGGTGTAAGAAACCTAAGTTTATAATGCCAGTGAGATGTTCCTGCTCTCAAGGAGTTTCAATCTGGGGCATCTGAGGAGCCTTGGGCTCAATAAAGACACTTAGATGTGGAGCTCATGAGGGAAATCTGGGCAGGAGATGTGGTTGGGTGAGCTCATCTGGTATTGCTAGTTGAGATCACAGATAAGACCACCTTGGGGAGAGTGGGGAGGGTCGGGAGAAAAGGGAAGAGGCTGATGATAGGACACACTGGCAGCTAAATCATGTAAATCAGGAGCTTGGAAAAGGGAATAAAGATGATTGAGCCTGAAGGGTTGGAGGCAAACTGAGAAGCAGTTTCATTATTATTATTTTTATATTTATTTTTTATTATTTAGTTATTTATATTATTGTTTTGTTTTTTTATTATTATTTTGTTTGTTTGTTTTTGGTTCGTGCCCTTAGCAGGAACCGAACCCGGGACTCTCTGGTCCACAGGCCAATGCTCCAACCACTGAGCCAAACTGGCCAGGGTGAGAATCAGTTTTAAAAGAGTAGTCACAGGCCCTGGCCGGTTTGGCTCAGTGGTTAGAGCGTCGGCCTGCGGTCCCGAGAGACCTGGGTTCGGTTCCCGCTAAGGGCATGTACCTTGGTTGCAGTTTGTCCCCGGCCCTGGTCGGTCGTGCGGGTGGCAGCCACTCGATGTGTCCCTTTCACATCGATGTTTCCCTCTCTCTCTCTCTCTTCCTCTCTCTCCCTCCCACTCTACCTGAACAAAAAAAGTCCTCGGGTGAGGATAAAAAAAAAAAAAAAAAAAGAGTAGTCACAGTTCCACTACTTCAGAAAGGCCAAAAGGGATGCTGATTGAACGTGCTCACTGCATCATCAGTTTCAGAAGCTCAGGGATGGACTCTAAGCACTTGTTCTGTGGTCTTGGGCAGGCTTGGGTCTGACTGTCTGTCAGGTACTGGTTAGAAGACAGATGCTGTGGAAATGAGAAAGCTGTATGTAATTTCTCTTATATGTAGTTTGTTCTAAAGGTGAGATGTCCAGTGAAATAAAGAGGAAGGTAAGTTCTCAAGCATTGTTGGTAACACAGGAGAAGCTTACTTATGTTTATGAGGAAAAAGAATGAGTGAGATGCTGTAGATGTGGGGAAGGAGAGAGGGAATAGGGGCAGCCAGGGCCTCAGGGATCCTGAGAAGAACAGTCTTCCTTTATTTTTATTATTATTATTTTTTATCCTCACCTGAGGACATTTTTGCATTTATCTTCAGATAGAACGGGAGGGAGAGAGGGAGGAAGAGAGAGAAACATTGATGTGAGAGAGACACATCGAGTGGCTGCCACCCATATGACCCCAACTGGGGCCGGGGACAAACTGCAACCGAGGTATGTGCCCTTAGTGGGAACTGAACCCGGGACTCTCTGGTTTGCGGGCCGATGCTCTAACCGCTGAGCCAAACCAGCCAGGGCAGAACAGTCTTTCTTTAAAGGCAAGGGGTTCCCTCCTGGAGTGGCGGAGGCCCCACCACCAAGCCCGGCGGTGGGGTCTTGTGCGGGAGGTGGTGTTGCAGCATTGCCCGGAGGGCTCAGGTGAGGAGCTTCAGAGATGCTCAGAAAGAAGCATCTATAATCTGGGATGTGTGTGGTGTGATGTGCTCGTGACTTACACGACAGCGAGTGGCACCCTGAGCTGTAGCAATGGGAAGGTGTGAGTACCTACTTACCTGGGGTCGTAGGCAACCTGGTGGTTGACAATCCAGGAAGGTGGTCACAGCAATGCAGGCAAAGGGGAAAGGAAGGAAAGAGCAGCAATTTGTGGAGATGAACATTACCACTGATAAGAAAAGAGCGCATCGGTGAAGAAGTAGGTGTCGGCGTTGTGACGGTGTATGGGAGCTGCTGCTGGGACCGAATGTCTGTCCTAGAGCATGCTGGTCTCAGACTGGTCAACAAGATTATGCTAGAAATGAAATGACTGGTGAATGGGCAAAGAGAAATATACCATACCAGTGTACCTTTGGATTTTCGATTTATTTATTTATTTGAATAGAAAACGTGTTACATTCACTGGTTTTGTGGGGCTGTGATTTCCAGGGCAGTGCATCAACCTGTGGTTTGCACATAATGTGTCTGAAAAACTTTTACTTTGAAATGTGAAAAACTCAAAAATTTGGAATTAGGTAGACTATAG